TTACTGCTTTAATTGTGTTTGTTTCCACCTCACACTCCATCGGAACGTTCCCCGTTTTTCTCTTCCCTGTTTCCTTTCTTAAGACACACACGCTTGTAAATGGCACATACGCGAAGGTCGGATCGAGGCACGAGGGTGCGACACACTGGGCAGGAAAAATGCTTGCTTGTTTCTAGACTCCATGGGGCATTTAAAAATGGCCAATTAATAGTTTGCTCAGCCTGTGGACAGCGTCACCCTGGGACTCTCACAGCTCCAGAGGGAACAGAGGTGACACCTCTGTGTCAGCCCTGCTGATGTCTGTTCAACAGTCCCTTTTGGACGTTTGTAATGTCCAATCGTGACTTAACTGTTTCCATATATTTTTAAAGAGGTTTTCCAAGAACCTCCTTTCCACTATCAAGTCACACATTTGCCACTTGACTGTTGGGGTGGGTTATGGTTCCTCTAGCGTATGTTTTCCGGAACTAGGAAAAACCTGTAAGGTCTCCATCTGTAAAAGGTGCAGCCTCCTCAGATTTTCCAAATGTCTCGATTGTGGAAGGATGAAATGCAATACTTACTTCCCTCTGTACTCCGGAAGCTGGGATCACTTTTTTCCTATTGTTCAAAAGCGCAGGGGAATTTAACCTCCGGTGCATTTTTCTGAGGCGTGAACAGGATCGGCCGTCTGGCTCACGAGCCCGGGACAGCAGCGGCCGCCACGGTGGTGGTGGTGGTGACCGTTACTGGAGGTCGGAGTCCCATCGAGGCCGGAGAGTGACCTGGGAGGAGAGTGGACCGATAACAGGGGAGCGGTCCGAGGAAGTTAAAGGTTTTTAGCTTCTGAAGACAGACCGGGCACAAGACCCCACACGTTTCAGAACAAGGTAAGATTTGGAAGCCCAGCCACCGAGAACAGCTTACCGAAATTTAAGCAGAGGATGAACCAGGAGAAGAAAGAGAAGGATTGCTTACTTTTTTTCTTGGTTCCCATAGTGAAATGCGCTTTGCTCTTTGTCACTTAAATCTCATTTAATTTAGTTGGTTGTGTATCTGCCTTCCACACTCAGTTACACCAAGGTCTTCCTCCTTTCCTGGCCCTCCTCATAGCACATACTTATTACGTGCTTAATAATTTTAAAAATTAATTACTAGACTGCTAAGGTCCTGTATGTATAAATGCTTTAACAACTAAGGTGAAAGTTGCTTCTATTAACAGACAGGTTGTGCAATGCTGAAAGTTGTTTTAAGCAATGACAATAGGATATAAACCAACTCCTAACTGAGATGATTGTTTCAAGTCTTGTATCATTT